TTTTTGAGTAATTTATTATGTAATAATAAAATAAAATTATAAATCATAAATAAACAAAAATAAGTTTTATTAGTTTTAATTTTTTAATTGATTTTTGCTGATTGTTGATCGATTTTAAACTGATTTATGCTGAATTTTAACCAATTTTTAACATAAATACTGATTGATAGCTGATTTTCTATTTATTTAAAGTGCCAATTTTTTGGTAATGATCAGCAGAATTAGACTATATTTTGGCCAACTTTTGGCATTTTAAATGTGACGAATTATATTATTTTATCTAGTGATATTAATGTCAAATGTTTTTTGTGTGGCATCTGAATTAGGTAACTTCGGTTATAACTAAAAATGCTAATTGTTTTAACAATGATTGCTATAAATTAGATTATATTTTGACTAACATTCATTACTTTAAAAAAGTGATGAAATGGATTTTTGACTAGTGTCATTATTCTTTTGAAACAATTTTATTATCACTCTGAGAGAATGATTTTTTATTATTCTTTTGGAACAATTTATCATCATTTTGAAAAAATGATAATTTTTTATTGTTCTTTTGAAATAATTCATCACTATTCTAAAAGAATATTTTTTTTTATTATTCTTAAAGAACAATTTATTATCATTCTGAAAGAACAATATTTTTTATCATTCTTTTAGAATGATATATCTTCATTCTGAAAAAACAATATTTTTTTTATCATTCTTTTAGCATGATACATTATTATTTCTTTAATGATTTTATTATCATTTGTAAGAAATGATCAAATTATCATTCTTTTTGAACAATTTATTATTATTCATAAGAAATAATTAAAATTATCATTTTTTTCAAACAATTTTATTATCATTTGTAAAGAATGATCAAATTATCATTCTTTCAAACGATTTGTTATTATTTATAAGGAATGATCAAATCATCATTCCTTTTGAACAATTTTGTTATCATTCGTAAAAAAACAATTAAAATTATTGTTCCTTTCAAACAATTTTATTATTATTCATAAGAAATAATCAAAATATCATTCCTTTCAAACGATTTTTTATATTTTTTTTAGGAATAATCAAATTATTATTCCTTTCAAATGATTTTGTTATCATTTATAAAAAATAATCAAATTATCATTTTTTTTTGAATGATTTTATTATCGTTTATAAGGAACGATCAAATTATCATTCCTTTTGAATGATTTTGTTATTATTTGTAAGAAATGATCAAAATCATTGTTTCTTTTAAATAATTTGTTATTGTTTATAAGGAACGATTAAAATATTATTACTTTCAAATAATTTTGTCATCTTTTCATAAGAAATAGTCAAATTATCATTCCTTTCAAATAATTTGTTAGGAATAATCAAAATGTCCTTCCTTTCAAATGATTTTCTATATTATTCTTAGGAACAGTTAAAATATTATTAATTTTACAATCAGATAATACAAAATCATCTGTTTAAAACATTTATGATAAATAGTATATACACTACCCTATCAAAAATATCCAGTCAACTAATAAAAATTATATTTTATTATTAAATTTATTAAATTATATTAAATTATAAATAATGCTTAGTATTTAGTTGGCTATCCGTTATTTTTAATGCATGCTTCAATTTGATGTGGCATGCTTTCAATTAAATTTATATAAGTTCCAGATAGGATTCTTTCCTATTCTTCTTTTAATGCTTCTTCAAGTTCATGAAGATTTTTTGGATGTATAATTCATTTTTGAAGCCTTCGTTCAAGTTCATGCTACAAATGTTCAATAGGATTAAGATTCAGAGATTGAGAGGTCTAATCTGGAAGAATCTTAATCTTTTTTTGTATAATCCAATTTTTAACATCTTTTGTGGTATGAACTGAAGCATTGAAATAGCGCAGTAAATAAAAAAAATAAAGATTGATAATAATAAAATTGAATATTTTGTTTAATTTTATTGCCAAATCCGATGTATTTATTATAACACAATATAAACATATTGATTTTAATCGTTAGAACCGTAGCATTCATTTAAAAAAAATAGATATACATATTATTATATTAAATCATAAGTAAATCAAAAAGAGCTTAACCAGATACTTTTGATAGGTAGTATATATCTAAATTTCAGATTAATTGAAATTTTAGTTTAATTTACAATATAAAACTGATAAACTTTCAGAATATTATGAAAAAAAAATTTTTTCCTTTTTTTTCTAATGAAGCAATTTTTGTGCAGAAATTTAATCTATTTCCTTTCTTTTTTCTTTTTTTTTTTAGAAAATTCTTATTTTAGAATTAAGGTAAGCAAATCAGAAGTGACTTTTTGAATATTTTCCTTTCTATTTTCTTGTTTTTTTTAAAAAATTCTTATTTTGAAAATAAGGTAAGCAAATCAGAAGTGATTTTTAAATGGTTTTTAACTCTTTTTTCTTATTTTTTTAGGAAATTTTCTTTTAAAAATTAAGGTAAACCTTTCAGAAGTGGTATTTTAGTAGGTTTTTAACTGTTTTCTTTATTTTCTTTACTTTTTTTAGGAATACATTAAGATAAGCCTTTCAAAAGTGAGATTTTGATGGATTTTTAACTATTTTCTTTATTTTTCTTTACTTTTTTTTTTAGAAATATATTAAGGTTAGCCTTTGAAAATGATTTTTTGGTAGTTTTCTAATTAATTTCTTTATTTTTTTCTTATTTTTAAAAATCAAATGTATTTTTTTTAAATAGAGTTTTGAACAGATCAGGTCAGATCAGGTCAGACATAAAATTGACCTGAATCAATATACATTTAACCTGATTTGATCTGATCTGATTTGTCTAAAAAGATTTTTTTTAGTTTACTAATTTAACAATATTTATATTCAAATATAAAAATAATATAATTAATAAGAAACTAAACAATTATTAATTTTGTTTAACATTTTTTTAAAAAACATAAAAAAATATTGATACATATTTACATTTTATTATTTTTCAAAAAAAAAATTACTAATATAATAATATTTTAATTGCAGAATTTAAAATTACAAGTTGCGATAAATATGCAAATCAGATAACTGCTAATATAATTACGAAAAACATTTATAACTTTACAACCATAAATCCAATCATAATAAAATTTTATATATACATATTTTGAACCCACTAAACAATATTACTTATATAAATAAAGTTGATTTTCTTTCCTTTAACCAAAATATTAAATTGCACTTTGAAATCACTATACAGATAAAAATAAAAATAAAAAATTCGTAAGATAATACAATTATGAAAAATGTATAATTTTTTAATAAAGTACTGATGATACCACATCTTTAAAAAAAAAAATTATTTCAACTAGTGTTTTTATCTGACTTCTTTAATTTAGGGTTTTTATTTTCAGCGACATTCTGTGATGTTTTTGACTTGGGTGAAAAGGAGCGAGACTGACTAGTACACTTACCCTTTTTACTGAGTATTAAACCTTTACTTCCTGATTTAGAGAGAAATAGTTTCGACTTCTAGACTCAGGAGGAAGTGGGTATAACTATTCTATTCCAGAAGAGAGTGAGTCTATTTATTCTTCAGAAGTTTTATAAGCGTTGAAATCTGTTAAGAGGTTAATAGTCCTGCTACCACTAGGGGTGATATTAGCTATAATTGTGTTATCTGGTCAATAATTATTGAAGGTAGAATTTTTATTATCATTTCTATCATTATCCTCATACAAAAATTCAGTTCAAGGATTCTTACTGATAGTTGCAGTTTTTGATGGTTTAGTCATGTTGGGTTGATTTTGAGGTTGAATTATTATTAATAAGTTGATATATTTAGATAAGTCTGAGTGGAATAGTAAAGAAAAGGTAGAAGTTTCATTGTGTACTTGAATAATTAATTGAAGAGCTTGATGAAGAGTGTAAAATGGTTATTTATTATAGACAAATGCCTAAAAGGTTCGTTTATAGAAATGATATTTTTGTGCAAAGATAATAAATACTTAGATCTAACTGAAAGTTTTCAACAGTTTTTCCAGTATATTGTTATATGTCCAAAATAAATTTAGTCCACTCAAAGAAAGACCAAAAAGATGTTAATAAGGCTGATGATAAAGATGCTAAATGACAAATAATACATAAAAAATCTGGTGAGAGAGCTATATATACAATCTTATGTTCCTTCCTAAGATGTTGTTGATGATATAATCTCTAATGCTTAAATATACTTCCAAATGAATTCATATAGCATATTTATAGGTTATTACTGTGTCAATTAAGAAAAGGGAGTCCTATCATCATTACCAAATGTTAACGTATAATTCTTGTGAACTACAACTATTAAACAAGATGTTAAAGTATTATTTCTTTTTAATTACACAGTAATCTTAAGACTTTACAAGTTTATTATTATGACTAAATTTAGATAAAAGTTTATACAAGTATTTCATGATTGACAATTTACAAGATATCGAATAATTATATTTTCAAGTAAAATGTTTATTGATAAAATAAGAAATAGAAATAAAGAGAATAAAAGATATGATAAGAGAAAAGAAAAGAAAATAAAGAAATGAAGTATTAAACTAAAGTATAATACAATATGCCTGTTTGCCTCTTAAAACTAGGGTTGGTAAAGTCCTAATTGGTCTTAATTAGTCCTAATTAATTTTAAAAAAATTATTAGTTTTAAAGATTAAATTTTTTTAGATATTATTATTATATTCAATTTTTT